TTTTTTTGAGATGGACTCTCCTCTGTCTTCTGTTGCCCAGGCTGGAATGCAATGATGCAATCTCAGCTCACGGCAACCTCCGCCTCCAAACACAAAAATTAGCTGGGCATGGTGGCAGGTGCCTATAATCCCAGCTAAGGCTGAGGCAGGAGAATGGCTTGAACCTGGGAGGCGGAGGTTGCTGTGAGCCGAGATTGCACCACTGCGCTCCAGCCTGGACAACAGAGCGAGACTCCAACTCAAATAAAGAAAAAGAAGATTGGCCTAAGTTAGCAGTCCTGGGAACTGGCTCCTTTCTCCTTTTTGTAACGATTTCCTCAGCCTCCTTTGACTTTGATTTGTAGGATGATTTTTTTACTCCCTGTAGAAGGAGAGTTCAAAAACACATTATCTTTATCTTTATTTCTACGCACACCATGCACCGTGAGTACTAACAAACTAATGATGCCACCTTCCTTAGAAACTAATTGAAATATACATCTTGTGATAAGTTCTCTGTACCTTGTGAAACCATGAAACTTTAATGCTTTTTTGGAAGATTCCCTCTCATGCCAATTATAAGATACCCAACAGAAGGTGTAAATGGAAATACCATCTTATGTCAAGGAATAATAACAAACACTACCCTCTTTGTGATTGTTACTAAAGGGTTAACCTCTTTATGCAAATAGTACTCAGTTGTCTGATTACAGACTTTTATGTCAATAAATATTGTGAAGTGTAAAAACAAGGCTATTAGAAAAACCTCTTTGGTTATTGGATATCTTACTAATAGTGTGACCTCTGTAGCACTTCCACTGGCGGGTAACTGTGAAACCTGTAAGGAATCAGGATATGGACATATGCTCCTTGGTTTCTGAGGGATCGCTAAGCTAGGAAAGGTGACCTGAAAAGACAGCTGCATTAAACAGTCTTCTCCAGGTTAAAAAAGAAAAAAATTCCAAAGGACTAAGATTGCATTATTTTCATCAATAAAACAAATATATTCCATTTAAGGACAAGATTGAAAAAAAAAATGTAATTCCAGAAAATTCCTCAAATAACTAGAGACTGAAAAAAACCCATAAGCCCCAACGGTTTGGCCTTTGAAAGACTCTTAATACTTGTGGATATGCTGAGATCACTGCTTTCTTAAAGGTGTATATAACTGAAAAATATGCATTGCTATTTCAGAAGTATAATATTTATGGTACAATATCTTTGATACTAAATATTTTATATTTGCTAAATTTTGTTTAATTTGTTATTTACTCATATTAATAAAACTATACCGAAACTGAAAACATTCCAACTTGTTCAGAGTTTGTTATTATGCAAGTCATTGCCATTTTTCTGGGAGAACTTATCTTCATTTAAGCTGTTAATTATAGCTCTACCATGATCAAATAAATGAAAGGTCTTGGCTGGGCGCAGTGTTTCATGCCTGTAAGCCCAGCACTTTGGGAGGCTGAGTCGGGTGGATCACGAGGTCAGGAGTTTGAGACCAGCCTGGGCAACATGGTGAAACCCTGTCTCTACTAAAAATACAAAGAAATTAGCCGGGTGCGGTGGCAGCACGCACCTGTAATCCCAGCCACTCAGGAGTCTGAGGCAGGAGAATCATTTGAACCCAGGAGGTGGAGGTTGCAGTGAGTCGAGAATGAGCCATTGCACTCCAGCCTGGGTGACAAGAGTGAAACTCCATCTCAAAAAATAAGATAAATAAATAAATAAATATATTAATTTTCCCTACAAACCCCCTGTTTTCATCAAGAAAGCAGGTATTAGTGTAATGATTCTTAGCATTGTCACCTGATTTTTTCTAAGTAATTTATAATTCTTCAAAGTAGTTTTTATCTCATTGACATTTTATTGGACAAAATTACCCTATGACATAGATTTATAAAATTTATACAAAACCTTGCATTACAGAAGTAACTTTTTTCAGTGTTTTATTATGTTTTGGGGTGGCAAAATACAAATAGTTTAACGTAAAATTTAAGTAACTATCAAAATAACACAGTAAAACCCTGTTATAAGCTGGCATATGATTCCATAAATATAAGCACAAAATCACACTTTTATTCCAAAATGTAATGATTTATTTTTTTAAACCATATTTTACAAGTAACTGAAGAGATGGGTGATCTTCTGTCCTTACTTTGTACCTACAATCAGTGGCATATATCACCAGTGCATGAATGAAACCTGCTGATTTATTTTCACTGGATTCATTAGTTGCTTCAACTTTGTATGAATACAGTCTGAAAAGCCTTGATGTCACAAAAGACCAGGGCAAGCTTGGTTAGACTACACCGTGAAGATCTATACCATCAAAACTAACTCTAATTTGGACCCCTTCAAACACTGGCACTTGCCTGAATTACTTAGGTAAGGACATAGAGCTGCTGTCTTGGCTTGAAGAGGGAAATTGTAGTTCGAAACACTAAGTTATACCAGAGTTAGAGGAATATTTTTGTGGGAAATGTCACATCAAGGGCTCCACTGAAGATCATTCCTAAATATATCCAAGTTCACAGCCATGCTTCTTGCATCCGTGTATGTCAAATTACCTATCTTTTTGTTACATACCACAATGCAGTATCATACTTGTTAATATTTCTTAAACAGCTTAGGCAAATTATCACTGACATAATATATATTTGGAGTAAATAAATATGGCCATTTTCTCATTCTGGCTGTTGGTGCAAAAAAAAGGGGGGGGGCTTGCAGTTTAATTTTCATTATAAAATGTCCTGTTGGAGAGAATAAGCAGCAAAAGGGAACTATCAGTAAACTATTAAGAGTTTGTTCCAGGCCGGGCGCGGTGGCTCAAGCCTGTAATCCTAGCACTTTGGGAGGCCAAGGCGGGTGGATCACGAGGTCAAGAGATCGAGACCATCCTGGTCAACACAGTGAAACCCCGTCTCTACTAAAACTACAAAAAATTAGCTGGGCAGGGTGGTGCGTGACTGTGGTCCCAGCTACTCAGGAGGCTGAGGCAGGAGAATTGCCTGAACCCAGGAGGCGGAGGTTGCGGTGAGCCGAGATCGCGCCACTGCACTCCAGCCTGGGTAACAGAGCGAGACTCCATCTCAAAAAAAAATAAGATAGCCGGGCGCGGTGGCTCACGCCTGTAATCCCAGCACTTTGGGAGGCTGAGGCGGCTGAATCACCTGAGGTCGAGAGTTTGAGACCAGCCTGACCAACATGGCAAAACCCTGTCTCCACTAAAAACACAAAAATTAGCCAGGCATGGTGGCGTGCCTGTAATCCCAGCTATTCAGGAGTCTGAGGCAGAAGAATTGCTTGAACCTAGGAGGCGGAGGTTGCAGTGAGCCGAGGTCATACCACTGCACTCCAGCCTGGGTAATAGAGTGAGACTCCATCTCAAAAAAAAAAAAAGTTTGTTCCATGGGAAATTCTGTTCTCAATGATATAGTTTCCAAAGAGATAATGCAATCTTGGCCTAACACTTCATTGACAAAATAAACAGAAGACCTAAAGTTTATGTATTTATTTATTTTTATTTTTTTATTTTTGTGGAGATGGGGGTCTTGCTGTGTTACCCAGGCTGGTCTGGAACTCCTGGCCTCAAGCTATCCTCCTACTTCTACCTCCCTAAATGCTGGGATTATAGGTGTGAGCCATAGTGCCTGGCCTAGCCCTAAAGTTTAAATGACTTGTAGAAGGTTACGTAATTTGTTGCCAAAACAAAGCTTCCAGAATAGTGTTTTTTTCTTGTCCATAATTTATTATTATTATTATTATTATTATTGAGATGGCATCTTGCTCTGTCGCCCAGGCTGGAGTCCAGAGGTGTGATTTCAGCTCACTGCAATCTCCACCTCCCATGGTCAAGCAATTCTCCTGCTTCAGCCTCCCAAGTAGCTGGGATTACAGGCGACTGCCACACCACCTAATTTTTGTGTTTTTAGTAGAGACAGGGTTTCACCATATTGGCCAGGCTGGTCTCAAACTCCTGACCTCAAGTGATCCGACCCACCTTGACCTCCCAAAGTGCTGGGATTACAGGCGTAAACCACTGCGCCCGGCCTTGTCCGTAAATTTTAAGCCCAGCTTTTCCATTTTAATTGTGACATATAATGCCTCAATTTTTCTTTTAAAACATGGAAATTGGACACAATGTTATTACTAAAAACTATTAATTTAAGCTTTCTCCTTATTTATTTTTCATTTTATTTTATTTTATTTGAGACAGTGTCTCGCTATGTCTCCCAAACTGGAGTGCAGTGACATGATCTCGGCTCACTACAACCTCTGCCTCCTGGGTTCAAGCGATTCTTCAGCCTCAGCCTCCTGAGTAGCTGGGGCTACAGGCGCCCGCCACCACGCCTGGCTAATTTTTGTATTTTTAGTAGAAATGGGGTTTCACCATGTTGGACAGGCTGGTCTCCAACTCTTGACCTTAGTGATCCGCCCGCCTCGGCCTCCCAAAGTGCTGGGATTACAGGTATGACCCACCTCGCCTGGCTCTCCTTGTTTATTTTAAGCTAGAAGGGAAAATCAGATGTAGAACAATTATGATACACTTGTAAAAGGAATAAACACACCAGATTTGCAGGCCAATTCTACTCGGAATCCCAAAATATAGAGTTTCTTCAACTCTAATGAGTCAGAGAACTATGTGGAAAGTTTTCTTCCAGAAAAGATCTTTGACAATTAAAACACACATGCACACACGCACACACACACACACACACACATTTTGGGTTAAGAGATTTTTCCTAAATAAGTATAGCCACCATGTTTCCATAATTTACAATTCAGTCAGGGGCAAAGACGAGGACTATGTAACCATTTCTCCCTTTCGATGAGAAACTGGGATACAAGCGGGTTAAGGTGGAAAGAAATGATAAATTTTAAAAACTCAAATGACAAGTTCCTTCTGGCTGGATAGTGACAGAAGAGAAACCACAAAACCCTACATTGTGCAATCTGGACAGACAGTGATAAAGTGACTACTTCATAGATGAAGATGGACAACTTGAACTTGACCATGAGTTTAACAAAGGGGCCCTGTGTGTGAGAAGGAAGGAACATATTCGAGTGGAATGTGCAGTTGCATTTAGATAGAAGGAAATTTAACATGAACTGAAGTTTCCTTAATTCAAAATGAATTTTTGGGCAGTTCTCCACTGTAACTTTAGTGAGTCTCCATTTCAACCTTCTGTATTCTCAATCCCCTCTAACTACAGCTCAAACACATGCAGTATCTGCCAGCCATGTCCATGAATTCCTCATGTCCCAGCCAAGTGCCTCTCAGCTCAAAAAGCCCCTTGCATGCCAGGGGTCAGCCATGTCTGGAAGGCTCTGGAAGAGGTCTGCTGGGCAGCGGGAGCGCTGCTGTGGATGAGAGGCCTCTTGTTGGACTGGAGACCAGGAGCTGTAAGAAACCCAGAAACAAAAAAGGCTCAGATGGGGACAGCTGCAAAGGTATCAGCTCCCAGGCACCAGGAGTTCCTCCCTCCTCTCCACCAAATCCCACAGTTGGGAAAAAAATGGACATCTTCCCCAAAACCCCACCCCACGTAAAATTTATTTGCTATCTCACCCTCAAATAAGAATGAGTTAATAATTAAGTAATGCAATTATACAAGCATAGTTGTAAACAGCTGTGCTGCAACTGTGCTGACATGCAAAGATGTGCTTTACCTTTAATTACCGGAAGAAAATAGACAACTGGGGCTGTGAGCACCTAACTTGAAGAAGAAATTAGGAAATAATATTCCCTCCCCGCCACACCCATCACTCCCAACCCATTCTACCTAAAAATCCTTTGCACTGTGGATTTTATTTTTAATTTTTAAAGTCTTATTTTAAATTAGGACCCAAAGAAAGAAGCTGGCATTTCTTATTCTTTTCAGAGTGGTCTGAGAAAAAAATAGGAAAGCAAACTCTCTTTTCTTTTCTTTCTTTTTTTTTGAATCAATACCCGAGATAACATCCAGAAGCAAAAATCCACCGGTGCGTCAGCAAGCAGGGCGCTCGGCCGTTCAGCTCCATCCCTCCCTCTGAGCTGTTCTCCAGCAGGCTCCGGCCGCCGCAGCTCCAGGCCACTAGAGCAGATAGATAATGTAGGACAGAATGACCAGGCCTATGATGGCAAAGAACATCAGGATGAAAATATCCAGCATTGCGGATTCCTAGGCCGATCCGGCCCCTGGATTCTGGTGAAACGTGAGCTGTGAGCACGGAGGTTGCAGTCGGTGGACAGAAATGGCTCCTCTGCCCTCCACGGCTCAGCCCCGGTTCTTTCCCCTCCCCCTCCTGGGGGCCTGAGACTAAAGGATGCTGCAGCTGCAGCTCCAGCAGCAGCATCCACCCGCTCCCCCTCCCGCCAACCACAGCCAACCAATCACAAAGCCTGGGGGTTGACAGCCAAGGAGCTGCCAGATTTAGACCCCGCAGAACCGCAGAACCAAAGGGGCTCAATTTCTCCCCAGGAACCCAATCCCACCCCTTTGTATCTAAATGGAGCCTGCATGCTATGGATGTAGGAGGAGACAGAATCTCTACCCGGCTCCCCCCGGAATGAGTCCCCCTGACTTCCTTTGCTTCGCTTTCCTCTCACACACCTCGGGCAGATTATCTCAGAAAAATACTGGTTGGGTATTGGGTGCGTCACTGGCAAGTTCTAAAGGTCACATTATGGGGAGACACAGACAAAGGTCTCATGTGAGTCTCAATGGGCTGCCCCTGGAGATGGCGCTAACATTTATACGTTTTCTACATTGGGCCGGATATTGCACACATGGTGCAATTTCAACCACGCTAGGAGTCTTTCATAGATGGGGCTCGGAGATGGTCAGAAACTTACCTAATGCTTCATAGTTTAGAACTATCAGAGACCGGCTGGGCACGCTGGCTCACGCCTGTAATCCCAGCACTTTGGGAGACCGAGGTAGGTAGATCATGAGGTCAGGAGTTTGAGACCAGCCTGGCCAGCATGGTGAAACCTCATTTCTACTAAAGATACAAAAAATTAGCTGGGCAAGGTGGTACACACCTGTAATCCCATTTACTCAGCAGGCTGAGGCAGAATGGCTTGAACCTGGGAGGCAGAGGTTGCAGTGAGCCAAGATCGCACCATTGCACTCCAGCCTGGGTAACAGTGTGAGACTCCGTCTCAGAAAAAAATAAAATACTAAAATTAGCCACCGATAATCCCATCTACTTGGGAGACTGAGGCAGGAAGGCAGGAGAATTGCTTGAACCCGGGAGGCAGAGGTTGCAATGAGCCGAGATAGCGCCATTGCACTCCAACATGGGCGACAAGAGCAAAACTCTGTCTTAAAAAAAAAAAAAAGTCTTGTGATGTTGCCCAGGCTGGTCTCAAACTCCTGAGCTTAAGCGATCCACCTGCCTTGGCCTCCCAAAGTGCTGATATTACAGGCATGAACCATGAGCCTGGCTTTATAATATTTTTTAACTCAGTTATGTCTTGTATTGTGCCTTTTCATAAGCCTCAATTATTTCCTATTAAATTTTAAAAATTCCCTAGGACATCTCTGAGGCCTAATCTCCTTGGCCACTACCCCAAATAGTATTTTTTTTTTAAAGGCCTGGGGGTAAGGCATATTGGTAACCCCCTCACAATGTTAGACCTCGGGAACTTAGGCCACTGCCATAAGGGGGTCTAGAAACTCCTCCCGTTGGCCACTCCCAGGAGGCAGAACGTTCTGTGAGCAGGGAGTGGAGACCCCGCAACAATGCCCCCCAAAACAGACTATTCCCTCAAATAGCTCTGAAGGTGAATGGAGCCTCCTGGGGAGTGGGGTGGGCTATGAGGCAAGCTTTGCCAACTAACTTCCTTCTATTGGGGAAAGTGTCAGGCTGCCTGCACCCCTGGAGGGGAGCAGGTGTCAGTGCTGTCTCTAAATAACCACCCAGGGCCACCTCAGGTGCTCCCCACCCAGCCCCAGCTGGCTGACTCTGGCCGCCTCACGCTTAGCTCAGAAGAGTCCTCCTCCTCTCCACCCTGCTGTGATTCTGAGGCTGGAGAGTGCTTTCGTTCTGAGCCCTAAGAGGAAATGCCATTGAGCGGCTGGACCTGAGGCTGGTGTACAGCACCGAGTGGGGCCCAATTACCCTCTCTGCCTCTGTCCTCTTCCCAAGCCCACTGAACAAGAGGGGAGGCTGCCTGGCCTTCTGGCCAGTCACAGACCCTGGGCACCTGGAGCAAAACACGGAGCCCAAGAGACACGAATCTGAGGCCTGCCAAGGACACGGGCACATGGCCTGCTCCAGCCAGGTGACACAGCACCAGACCGGGAGCACCACGTGGGGGTTCTCAGGCCCCACTCTGCCACCGGCTGTGGACTGCCACCAATCTGCTCTGCCTTTCTGGGCCTCAGTGAGTCCCTCCTCCGTAAGCAGTTTCTCTCACAGGGCTGCCAGGAAGAAGGAAGAAAAGGAGGTGTGTTCAAGATCACATCCCAAAGGCACTGTGAACAGTGCCATGGGCAGCCGGGCCACCTTACACACAGCTTCATGCAGATCCCGTCCCACTGCGGGGCGTCCCGTCATCTCACGCCTCAAAAGTGCTGAGCTCCTGCTCTCTGCCTGGCAGTGGCAGAGTGCTGGAACTGCTCCCCAGCTGAGCTCATTCATTAATTCAACAGCTCCGCACCTGCTCCTGTGCAGGTAGGAGATTCAGAGACAATTAGACTCATCGCCTGCCCCGGGGGCTCCGGCGAGTAGGGAGACAGATGCGTCACTGAGGAAGTGAGACAGTAAGGAGACGGAGCTCAGGAAAGCTTCCGGGAGCATCGCCAAGTTGGCAGAGAGGAATGAGTGGGTGGGAAGCCAGATGTAGGTTGGTGGGAGTTCTCAGCAAGGAGAAAGTAAGGGCAAGGGCCTGTCAGACAGCAGCAAACCATCGCTTGGTGTCCAGACAAGTCATTGTCTCCCTGAGGGGCAGCAGAGCTCCCAGGAGGGCCATAGGCCAGTGCCCCCGAGCAGACGGGACACACACACAGAGAGCAACACCTCCTGGTTAAATACACTCACACACAGCACCTCACAGCTACACATACACACACCCCAGAACCTCAGAGCCAGCCCCCCAGACAAGACACACACA